TCACGTGCCCAACAATATTCTCTCTCTGTCCGCAGTTCAATTACTCATTACCTCCCCGTCACGTTGTGACCGTCTTATATATAAAAGAATACCGAGATCTAGTAAGCTCCCGATATTTCAGGAAGGGACGTGAACGTTCGAGAAGCTTGTGGCGTGATACTAGCGTCACGTGACCCCCGATGTCGTAACAATACGTATTTATCCAGTTGTACATTGATTTGTTTGATTTTACTTTACGTTATCGTTAGTAAACAAACAACAGATATCGATATAGGCCTTACAGCCATATGCACATAAAGTAGGCCCAAGTCAAACTAACCCTATATTGTTTTTATTCATAAGTGCACAATGTTTTTATGGACTGTTTATGTATACGTATTTATCCAGTTGTACATTGATTTGTTTGATTTTACTTTACGTTATCTTTAAAAAACAAACAACAGATATCGATATAGGCCTTACAGCCATATGCTCTAAAAATTCTGGATTTTCATTATTCTCTCTCTGCGGACGAAAGGTAAGTGAAAGAAAATCAACAAACTGACATTTTCAAAAATATCTTTTAGAAATAAAAGCTCATGTTATATTAGCTTAGGTACAAATGAAATAATATGTCAATTTACAATATATTTGGATATGTACTACTAATTATGAACTTATTTCTATTTATACTTTGAGCTGAGAATGTTTCGGGGATGAAAAGACTTGGGTGTTTCTTAATATACATTATTAAGTAATGATTTCTTATTTAGCAGAAATTCTAGAACGTTAAGTTAATTTTTCATAACCATAGTGGATAATATTAGGTTCTACCTCTTTAAAACACTTTTGTCTATCTTCACCATACATAACATCAAACATGTTAGGAAACTTTTCTATAGTTTGACTACAGTACTTCTAATTAATTAACAGAGATTTCTACATGATAACTTCTTTCCTTGCGAGTAATGATGAACAAGTTAAACGATAAAGAGTTTACATGGTAAAACACATCAATCTGTTTTTCAATACTTACCGCCGTTTCCGGCCAATAAGCAAACCTACAAAATCAAACAGATATGCAGGTATGTAATGGTCTAATATCCTCCAAATCTTGTTCAAAAACTGGCTTGTCCGAAACGTCCCAGATGGGTAGCGGACCACATGGCAACTTGGATTTTGAATTAGCAGATCAATTACCGTTGTATTCCATTCAGCCCAGGTTATCTTATTAACAGGGCCTGAAGTACAGTTGTATACAGGAACACTCAAGGATCTGTCCAGTGCAAAGAAGTTCAAGACAAAAATTATAATAATCTTATATAAAATATATATTCTTTATTATATGTTACGTGTCCCTATAGCGCAGTGAATAGCGCGTTGGATTTCTAAGGTATTGGGTTCGTTCCCCGACAGGGATGCTACCACCATTGCCTGGTCCCAAGTCCAGGATTATATAAGAGGACCTAGCAACTCCGCTCCATAAAAAGAAAACTGCACCAACACTTCCGTCGGCGAAGTGTTGTTGTAGCCCTATGTTCCACTAGGAACGACAGGAACTAAGAAGAAGAATATTATATGTTATTAATTTTAATGGTGTTTTCTCAGGCTACAACTCAACATTTTGATGCCCATCTATCTGTTAAATGGTACTTAAACTTTCAAAGTTTTGCAAAGTGTCAACATATCTGATTCTATCATTTATGCTACAGTAATATTAAACAAAATCACTATTTCATACGAGACATGGTAGCTTATAGAAAAATGTAGAGTATCAGAAAATACTCTCGAGATGGCGCCACCAAAAACCACATCTCAAAACTGATCGTTAATTTCCACCTTCCTCACTTAAAGAAATGCAATTAATCAGAGTTGTTTTATCATGTGCATAAGGAAGTATTAGTACAAGTCAGGTAAATATAGAGTATCAGAAAATACTCTCGAGATGGCGCCACCAAAAACCACATCTCAAAACTGATCGTTAATTTCCACCTTCCTCACTTAAAGAAATGCAATTAATCAGAGTTGTTTTATCATGTGCATAAGGAAGTATTAGTACAAGTCCAATAATTTGATAAAATTAAGTATATTTCAAATTTTCAGGTAAGTTATTTATAGAGTTTGATAATATGTGGCTTTTTCGTTCCTATGCAGAATAGACCACAGAATCTTACAATATAGCCCACTCAAAAGTAATAGGTTGTAGCATACGAAGTGATAGGTATCAAACAGTAGATAAAAGAGTTCTATACGATATAGTGTGTTATTTTAGTTAGTCTGGCATTTTACATAGAGGCCTAAGTATTCAAATTGAACATCTATGTCATTTTAAATTAAATTGCTACACTTTTTACTTTGATTTTAGAGAATTTATTTAACGAATTACATTTGTGGGGAAAATGTAAGACTAAGAACAAAGGCTTCATACTGCTTAAGTATTATTAGAGTTTTGTATAAAAACTTTATTTTGTTAATAGATAACTTAGAAAAGAATCATAAAAACATATAGCTATTTTTTATACCTATATATTATAGGATAAAAATGAAACACTCGGGTGAGATTCTGACCTAAAGCAGGAAATCTTTAAAATAACTTATTTGATTTCTATATGATAACGTTAACTTATTCTATTAAAGTGCATATATGGAGTACAAGCATGAATAATATATCCATGATATACTTGAGTTATCCCCCTCGATGATTCAACGGTAAGCTTGAAGGCTTATAACGTTAGAATTCAGGGTTCAATTTGTCTCGGGGAAAATAGCAAAGCAAACATTCAAGCATTTGTTCTATTGAGGTTTTGCAGACATGTGACCAAAATCACGTGATGCATGATTGTCCACCATATTGGACGTCTCGCTAGAGTCTATAGTACCCTGATATACCACGTGTGGGATAAACTCAGCAGAGTTTAAAGTGCAATAAATAATGTCAGATACTTCGTCACTAACAATATCTGAGGATGTTAAACATCTGCAGGGAGAACATCGACAGCGATACTCGTAGAAACTGAAGCTAGCCGGCTTGCAAAGAAAATTATTTTCTGACGTCACGAGAAGCGTAGCCGCATCGTTTCCACAATTCACCCCTTACAACTTCCTTTTTTTTTCATTGTCTGGCGTGTATGAAACTTGACCATATTGTTACATCTTCGTTTGTTAATTAATTTTCCGTAAATTCGTTCCGACGAAACTTTAGCGACACAAGTCCTTCCTTAAATAAAACTGGTTTATTCTTTCCGAATACAACTTTACGATACACTTAATTTCAACAGTCGCTCTATAACAACGCTATAACTCACGTCTCACGTGGCCAACAATATTACTCATTACCTCTGACTGCAGTTCAATTACACACATTGTTGCCGTCACTTCTTGGCCGGTCTTATATATACAAGACTACACTATATCTAGTAATCTCCCGACAATTCACGAAGGTTCGAGAAGGACTTGGCGTGATACTAATCACGTGACCTCGCTGACACAACAATATTATTCGCTGCTCATCTCTTCTGGTGTGACTTGATGCGAGAAAACACAGCAGGAATATAGTCAGGGGGAGAGTGGGTGATCACTCTTGGCACCTGGATATTTAATCAACATAATTATATGTGTCGGCAGCCTGTCTGAGACTATTAATATTATGATGCAAAAATAAATTATTCATGAAGAACTGAATTAAAGTGAAACTATTTTTTATCTATTTGGCCCACATGGTAAAATTTTCAGACTTTCAGGAAAATTCTAACATTGAAATGTCATTTAAATGCTGCTAAAAATGGAGTGATAACGTTTATTGCATGTCAGATCTAAGTATATATCAAAATATTACTCAAATATCATACTGAAATGACCATGGAACTTCTAATCTATGTTTGATCCGAGGCACAAGGCAGAGGCAAAACTTCTGACAAGTTTGTTTGTTGTGTTTTGTGTGTCATGTTGGGCGATAATGCAGGCCTATACTGTCATATTATCAAAACTTTTACCTGGCTTTGGGGCTGGATGGTCATTTACATTTTTACCCCATAGTATAAAAGGATACATTTATCTGATATTTATTTTTATGCTATTGAAAAATAAACATTCATACCTACTATAAAATGTTCACTACACAGACGGTTGTAGTCTGATGGTTCCCAGTCTTTCCGATTGACAGCTGAAATCCGTCGATTTTCTCGCTTTTTGTCTTTTGGAAAACGATAGAAAGGAAGACCGGGCTTTTGTTCCTGTCTATTGCTACATCCAACAGCACAAAAAGCAATTACCATGATGGTACCGGAGGAAGCCAAGACATCAACTCATCTAAGATGAGTAAAGTTATATTCACACTGCTAAGCCTGGGGTAAACACGCGGTAGCTTGAAGTCGACAATGGCTAACCCTCGGGGATTTCCCAGCTCGTGACGTCACGTGCAAAACCTCAATAAAGAACCATGTAAACACTAAAGTATTTAAATGTAACGTGCAAAGTTCTGTCACTGTTTTGTGTCACATACGCATGCCTGAACAAGATCTGCATAAATCTGTATTTCTCAAATTATTTCTTTACTGCAAAATAAGGCAAAAGCTAACCAACTTTATTTCCCCTTTTTCAAAAGAAATATATTAACCAAACACCCGATCTTCACTACTTATTTAGTCTGATACTTAGGGTGTTATTAGTGGTGTCACTGACTGTAGAGCTCACTAATTAAGCTCCTCTAAATGCCTTTTTAGTGACATCCAACTCAGCAGTAATGTTGAATCTAGATTTAATTAGATTCGTATCTGTTCAGCTCTGTGAACTGTCAATAACCAATGTATCGTTGTGATTGGCGGGTAATTGTGGTATGTTACTATTATCTTGCCAGCAATTCATATAAAACAGTATATGAGTA